TAAGCAACCACCAAGCCCATCAGAAGCATCCAAAATCAGACCAGGCACAACAAAAATCATAGAGACCAGAAGAGAATTCACACTCAGAGAACTATTGAATTCCATTTCAATGCCAGACTTAAGAACCATTGATCCATCAGCAAACCAAGGAAAACTCATTTTATCAAACCCCAAAATTCCAAATTCAACTTTTCCAAAATAACATAGCGCTCAGATCAACAAACCCAACAACATTATCAAATGCAGCCACCATACTCTAAAGTCTAAACTGATATTCAACCAATAAACAGAGGTATTTTACTTATCATTATTCATATTTTTAGCTAATATTTTTGTGTAATATAAATTTTTTATATAAAATAAAAGTACTAAATAAAAATTATATATTAAGAATAAAAATTATATATTAAGAAAAAAAATTTCAAACATATACTATAAAAAATATCATCTATAAACACCTATAGTGGCATGTAAAATCGAATTAAGATTGTACTACTTGAGATAGTATACTGCAATGTGATAAATAAATGGTATTAATGACCTCCTCGTGAAATGCGACACTTCATCACCTTCCGGATTCCTACCACCTAATCAATTTTCTCACAAGTTTCCCAACTGTCCAATAAATCGTCTAACGCGTCACTTCCTCACTCCACCACAGGCATAGCAATACTATTTTCTTGCAAGTTTGACTTTGAGGTTAGTTGGGTTTGATAACGCGGATAATTTTATTAATAAAGTTTTATTAAAAAAGTAATTCAAAAAGAATAGTATAGAAAGTTTATAAATATTATATGAAAAAATTATAAATTTTGTAATGAAATTTTGTTAAAATTTTATTAAATTATTAATTTTTTTATATTTGGTAAGAAATTAGTATAGAAAAAAATTAATAAAAAAGTTATGAAGTAGATTTTATATTAAAAAAAGTTGGGAACAAATTTTTTTTTTCAAAAAATATGTCAAAAGAAAAGTTTATTAATTAAAAATTATGTCAAAAAAAATAAAAATTAAAAATGTCACTTCTACCTTTTATTTTATATAATATTAATATGTGAAAATATATAAATAACGTTTTAAAGAAGAAAATTTTAAAAATTTTTTGAGAAAAGTTTCCACAACTAGATACCAATGAATTTTTAACCAAAAAAATATGAATAAGAAGAGCTCATTTATTTTCATCCGTTTTTCTTTTATTTTCTTTAATGGAAAGTAGAGTGCTATAATTGATTTGTTTTTATTAATGAAGTCTTCTTTTTTTTTTTTAACAATTATAACTTTGGAGGTGAGGGATTTAAAACTCAATTCTTAAGCTAAAGGTGCACCTACAACCTGATTTATAGCCATTGAGTTAAGAAGGTCAAAAGTGATTAATGAAGTCTTTTTAATTATAATTTTAGTTAAACAATTTATAGTGCTTGTTGAAGTAGAAAATATGTCTAGGGTTCAGGTTGCAGCAATGAGTATCTTGAATGGCTAGGAAAGTCTAAGTATGCTTCTTAAGGGAAAACACCTCAACATCCAAATCAGAGGTGACATGAGACCTTTAGAGAGAGACTCTCAATTAGAAAATATGAAAGATTAATTATCTTTAATGTTGGTAAATGTAAAATATTTATAACCTCACTTATGACACTAATGTCACATGAAAACCGATTATTATATGCTTGTTCAAATGCGAATGATTTTCTCACTAAAAGGCTCTTTCTTTAATGGGCCCAGTTTTGAACTTTAGGGCTATGCAAAAGGTGTTTGACCATGCATTATCCCGAACACTGCTAAGAAGAATGGTATAACATCTATTTTGAAATCACTCTATATCCATCTCAAGTTTGAATGTGAGACATTTTATTTAGATTCTAAAATTTTTATTAATTGAGTCACTTCATAAAAATTAAAGTTGTGACAATAAGAATGAGCTTAACTATTGAATATGATAATTAAAAAAAAAAGTGATTTGCAATGAAGGGGAAGTAGATTGTCGGAGTATATATTTAACTAAATAATCAAATTATCATTTGACTAATTAAAAAGAGTTTGAAAATCTAAATTCAAAGTCTTACATATGAGAAAAAACTATCAATTTGATTACTCAGTCAGTTAATTCAATTGATCATCAGTTTTGTTAATTGAGAATAAAATCAAACAGTTGTTTGGGTTGCATATGGAATTTGCTGGTAGGGGTAATGCTGGAGCAGCGGGGTTCCGAGTGATGCGCCCTTCATCGTCGAACTGCGTCTATAGGCCGATGTACACGACTCTTTTCGAGGAAAAGGTACAAGTGGACGTTGCAGTATGAGAGGGATAACTAACGGCAGAGTGTAGGCAGCTAATACTTGCATTTGCATGAGGATGTGGAAGCGAGGTCCAAGATGGTCCATGGTTTAATCCCAGGGTATTGAAATCTAAATAAGAGACTTTAAATTTTATTTATCACCCTTGTTTAAGTAATAGGAAGTTTCTTTTATATATATATATATATATATATATATTAAAAAAACAGATATTAAAATTATCAATATAATTTTTACTTTCAAAACATTTTTACTACTGTGTTTTTAAATCAATTTATATGTGTTTTGAAATTTAATTATTTTTAAGTGATTTTAAATGTGCATCTTTCACATTCATATTGTATATTTAAAAAAATTAATTTTTTTAATGCTAACTCTAACATTAGAATTTTGAATTTGTCTTATAAACTTACAAAACAACTTTTATTTATTAGTAAATGAAACTTTTAAAATTGACAAGAATATTATTATTTAGTAGAAATTATAGACGATTTAATTATTTTTAAGATCTTAATTGTGTGAGTAGACGAAAACGTAAACTTCTGCTGTTTATAGCATCCTTTGCTTAGGATGGATAGCAACTGAATCGGGACTAGTCTCAGCCTTCATTTGATTATTTGATTTTTTTTTTTTTTTTATCTTGAACTAAGGCAATTACATACATAATTTATCCTATGCTGGGGGAAGAAGAGAGGGAGACCCAAAACTCGGCAATTGGCTTTTGCCACTTTGCCGAGAGTGTGAGGAACAATTATTCGACTTCTGTAATCTGTTTTGCTTTTAAGATGCGTTAAAAGTTAGTTGTTTATTAATGCAGCTGTTTGAATTTTTAGTTGTGACCTTAAATTAAAAATTTTAAATGAATAAATAAATATTAAGTTGGTGAAGTTTTTCATTGACATTTTTTGTAAACTGGATTGTCTAAGTACGTGAAATTTTCAAATCTACACTCTTCAAATAGAAGGATGGTACAGACTTGGCTTTTAACAAATTATTAATCATAACAAATTATTATTTATTATTTAACATATAATATCATCACATATTAAAAAAAATTTATCATCTAAATATATTATTAATAAAAAATTAATATGTAATGATGTTACACATTAAATAATAAATAATTTATAATAATTAATAATTTTAAAAATGTATTTTTACTTTTTTCTCTTAAAAAATAGATCTATTTCTACTTCTTTTTTCTTTTTCTTTTATAGATCTATCCTCCTATTTTGATAGTAGACTTGGGGTTCGGCCGTCTCAATATAAGTGATATTTTTCATTTAAAAAACAAAAATGCCCTTTGAGAAATGATTGGTGTTATAAGAATAATTTTATTATCATATTTTTTTATATAATGTTCATGTATCAATACATTTAATATTACAAGTTTTATATAAATTAAGAAAATTAATTATTTTAATAATATATTAAATTATATAAAAAAAACAAAAAAAATTATACAAAAAGCATTTCCTTTGATAAATATGAAACGTGGTTGTCTGGTTGAAGAGGCGGGCCCCTAAAGGTTACAGTCTCCATTTATAACGGCTTGAATGTGCACGTGTAGGTGAAGAGGGCCCTTAAGGAAAAGTCGCAATTCATAACACATAACAGTTTGCATGTGCACTTTATTAGTAGCAGCTTAATGATCCCAGTTAGTCTCTGTATAGTTAGGTCGGCCCTAGAAGCCACCAGAAAGTTGTGCGCGTGAATGAGAGAGAACAATAACGACCTTTGTCCTTGCTAATTTTGGGTAATTAAGGCCAACTCGGTTGGTTGGTTAAAGGGGGTCATTTGTTCTAACCATTTTTTTAGGGGGTGAATTCATCCTTAGCTCATAATTTGAGGCAATTTTGGGTAACAAGAAACATTATTATGCAGAGTTGAGACTGATTTTGAATTTTTAACAAGTTCACAAATTGATATATTTATAATCTTTATAGAATGTGTCTAAATATAATTTGCCCCGAATGGATCGATTTTCATCCTTAATTTAATATTAGGTATTCCTAACTCATTAAAAAAAGTTTTTAAATTTTAACTAGATTTTGTAATTTGAAAAATATATATATCAATTCTGACTCTTAAAATAAATTAAAGTCTTAATCTTAAATTATTTTATTTTATTTAATTTAAAATTTAAAAATCTATCTTATTAAATATTAATATTTAAAAATTAATTAAATTTTTTAATTTTTAATTAAAATTATAATTTTTTTAAAATATAAATTAAAATTCTAATTTTTTTAAAAATTAGAGATTAATACATCCTAATTTCCTATTTAAAAATGAAAAATGTGTTTCATACGTGGTTTTCTTTCAGCAGTGTTTAGTTGAGACAGGCTTTTTCCTTTTGAACATAATTAAAGGCTGTTTGGTTGCCTGGGTCTGAAGAAATTTTCAGACAAGATGCATCAAGAAAATCGCTTGATTTGGGTCTTAAAATTTTAATTTTTAGAGGCAAAATCAATAAAAATAAATTTAACTATTTTATTTTGTAGACGGTTATAAATACTTTAAAAGTAATATAATCAGTTAAAATT